TGGTTACTCTGAGAACAACTAAATAAGGAAATCAAGACATTACTAGTATAAAAAGAAATTATACCTTTTCCGGCTTATGATAATTCAATCTGACGGCCCAATGCGTTTTTGCTCTAGTTTTGCGGTTAATTTGATTCACAGCCACATTATCTTTTTACATATACAAACATATCATGAATAAAATGCAAAATAGTGTGAATGAATTTATATGAAAAAACTTTTATGTCTGCATGAGCTCTGATAATACCATTAGTGTCGCATTACATTCCCGATAAAAAGCCGTAATAATTCAGACCAACTAAATATAAGGGGAGACTTTGATCACCGCGTACTATTTCCTTTTGATAAATCCTTCAATAATAAATGAGCATATGAGTATTGAACAACAATGAAAAGCCACCTAAAGCATCTAACCGCAAGATAAACAATTAATACCGCAAAACTATATGTTTTTGTTAATTGGCTTAAAAGTTATTTCCTTCCCATAACCACAAGTAACTATACCCTTATGCAAGTTTGTTCGGTTTTTGGTTTGCAATTTAGGATAGGAGAAATCAAAAGGTGGTACGTAGGCTTAAACAGAAAAAAGAATACGTTCACTTTTACAAGAAAATGGAAATTACCGTTGCACATATCTGTGATTCTTCACTTTCTAACTTTCTTCTATTATTCAATCTAATAATACCGTAAGTTCTCATGGTTTTTAATTAACATATTTTGTACAACATAAATACAATATTAAATAATTTAATCTAACACTTATCGCCTTATTCTTAACGGCCATTAGCAACAAAATTATTTATAATGACCTGGATGTTCTATTTGTTAAAAATCTAATTTAATGCCTTTTTGGAAAACATCTCGTTAGAATGCGCAAATTCGGAAATACTTTGACATTGTCTTTCCCAGATGAATCCAAAGTGATGAGAGAATTAAAAAGCCACCATGTACCGGATATTCCACATAGAAATTAAGTTATCTTTGTTCCTCAAATTATTTTAATGAATTTTCTAAGTTTATATACTTTCATTTTATTTATTTAAGCATGACATATGTAGTATTATATTATCCCCCCTCTATTATATTTCTCAACGTACAATAACAATTCCCTATTTCTTTTCTTCTAGGATAGATCGTAAATTAAATATGTAATAAAAGAAAAAAAACTTAAAAAGAATATGAATAATTAGAATTCAGAATGTGTGTTGATAGATCTTGTTATCTATTTAAAACGTAGTTCTAGTTACTTCTTTCTGTGATCCTCTAATGACACAGGAACCCCAAACAAAAACACTAAAAAATCCAAATTAAAAACAAGTGGAGGTATGCGTTAGTGAAAGAGTTGAACGCTAAATCGAAGTTAATATCCTCCATTACGCAGATAGATATAAAATTCGGTGTGTTAATTTAATTTGAGTTCATAGTTCCAGATATAAATATTTTGATCATTTTTAATTGAAACAGGTGTTTTTACATTTATATTTGATCACTTTTTCGGAATATAAATGGTTTCATGTTCTTTTGACAAGCTGTTTATAATAGTTAAATGATAATATTATTCTCAAATGACTACCATTATCATGTTGATAAAGCGGAAATGCAAAATGTTCCTATTTAGGTAGACATATCCCCATTAAATTAAAAATAAAATTAACAGGCAGCTCTGAGGATTCTGTAAGAATCAAAAAAAAAATTAAATCTGTGGCAAAAAGGAACAAACAAATGGGAAATGTGTTTTTTAGAATAATGTTACAACCCTCATAATCATCAGATATGAATGTATGGCTACGCAGACAGATTATACTACTCTACATACCGAAAAGAAAATAATCATCGTTTACGATAGTAATAATATAATGTGAATATGGGGGAAATTTTGCTGTTCAATTGGAAAGTCACTCAGGCACAGACATATATTTAAAAAAGACATATGCAAATATTCTCCCTTGGGTACGCAATTTTTGACAAATCACTGTTAACTTATGTGTTGACTTTTTACAAGAACTTCCTGTGGGGATTAACTCACTAACATATGTATATTCTTTCTCTTCTTATATCTTATCACTAAAAATCATCTTACTGTGCTTCCTGTCTATCCAAAAAAAATATACAAAGTAGGAAATGGTCTTTGCAATTTTTATACCCACTGGAGAGTACACTAATGCTTTTGTCCGACGAAAAAATAATTTTGTTTTCCTGCGCTTTTGCGTTTATACATCTATAGAAGCATTAAATACCCACAGAATATATTTCAAAAAAACTTCTTAAGTCTTCAAAAAGCAACATTACTTGTTTGACGGCACAAGAATATAAATTCCTTGCACAAATAGTCTTCTAGTCGACAATCAATTAATTAATACCTGTACACTTCTGATACTATCTGCGAGCCCAAAAGTATAACACTGCAAAATATATATTCAAATTGATAGATATTATAAATGAGAGAATACTCCATTTTTACACAAACACAGAAGGTTTGGAAATCTAAAAAATTGCGTAAAGAGTAAGTCTTCTAGCAGAAATCAACGGGAAAGGACTATTTTAAGAAATCCTGTCCGAAGGAAGAGATATGGTTTTTAAACTTGACGCTGTAAATAAAACTTGTTATACGGTTAACAATACTTTAAAGCCTATCTAAGGTATATCTTGGGCACCCAGAATAGACTACAATAATATAGTTAACATGCGTCATGAGAATGAAATGCGCAATGGTATGTTTAACCTTCAGAGGCAGGTATGGAATTAGATTGTGCAGTTTGCGGAGCGTTAGAAAACCTTTGGCAGAGACATTGTCAATTTAGGGACAAAGGTTATCAAGGGTTATCCTAAGATAATGAATTGAATCTATAAAGCCAATGGAACCTTAAAGAGATTCAATGACCAGCATAAGTAGAATTAAAGAATAAAATTCTAGTCTCAATGGAGTTAATAGAAAGCATATTATCTATCATCCAGAAGTAAACAATTGCTAGAGACTCGTTAATACTGTTTTTGAGCGAATAAAAACTATTTGCTTGCTCTTTTTAAAGCAGCAAGATCTTGTCTGCATAGGCCAAAAAAGTCGTTACCAACTAAATCCTCAAGATTATTTAGGAAGAGAGTAAATAGTAGTGGGCCCAAAATGGAACCTTGGAGTGCACCAGACATAGCCACAATTAGGGAAGTGTTAGAGTCATTCACAGAATTAAACTGTTTACGATATGAAATGTAAGAGCACATATGCTTGCAGAGCATTTCGAGGAGGGTTAAGACTATCATACAATTTGTTAATAAGTGTATGGCACACTATCAAATACTTTTCTTAGATCGAGAGCGAAATGAATACGTCTCCTATCAACATTGATGTTATACACAGCGGGATCCATGACGGAGATTAAAATTTTCGACTCGAAAACCGAACCGGGTATCATGCAGGGCATTACCACTATTCCAGAATGAATGAAGTTGTTCCTTCTTGATGCGCTTTGTAACTGAAGAAGGTGGGTAGGATGCTAATCGGTCAAAGATTATTATGTGCAAAATACGAGCCCCTTTTAGAAATCAGTCTTATTCGATCTATTTTTCACTCCTCGGCAAATTTGAAGGTAATTAGCACCGCATTCACGATCTGTAGTGGATGGTTAGATATGTACGAAAAGCTCAATTTAATAAGTTAGACAGATACTCCAGGAACCTCAACCGAGGTACACGCTACTTTTCGAACAGCACTATAAAGAATGTTTTCATTCACGTTCTAGAATAAGAAAGGGAAATCTCTAAACAAACTCTTGAATAGCGTTTACGTCTACCTGATTAGGGTCATCACTACTACAACCTAATACATTTTTAAAACGACGCATGTGCCACATTTGCTCAGAGTTAGCATTTCTGAGGAAGTTAGCATATGCTTCATTCCTTTCCTTTCTTATTGTATACTTCACCCTATTACCCAACTTACAATAGAATCGCCATTCAATAGCATCAAGGAACCGAAGATATTGTTTATACACAATATCTCAGAGAGGTCTACTCTAGGGGATATTGCGTGAATAAGCTCAGTTAAACGTGGTGTGCAATATATTGGGTAGACAGTGTACTGGAAAGTCTACGCAACATGGAAAATATGTTGCATTAAAATCACCTCCTCGTAAATAACTAATGATTGCGTTAATATTAGATCTTTTAAAGTTAAAGAAAGCGATAATGAGGTTAATGCGTGATGTAAGACACCAGGGGCAACAGCATAATATTGTACATAAGTGAAATTCTCATTATAAGAAATTAATCAATATGGATTGCTGCTGAATATTAAAATGCATCGGTAACCAATTATACGCGCTATAGAGACAATTTCTGGAGCACAGGGCTCGTACGTGAAAGGCATTATCCGGATGAAATAAATCGCTATTTAAATCTCCAGTTATTACAACACTGGCGTACGTGGCAAGCAGGTCACAATGCATTCTTTCGAAAACGGACATATCTCCTCTCGGCATATAAACAACACCAACGAGCAAATTAATTATTGTGGAGGCTCAGCTGAACGAAAAGAGATTCATTGACCTCCCGCCCACGAATTGAAAAACTGTTTAGACGAGTCATGTAGGGTAACTCTCTCACCTCTAGATAGTACACGTTCATTTCTAGACAAATTATACCCTAAAACATTTGTAGCGACTTTAGAAACATAGTCAAGTTTCAGTTATGACAAAAATATCACGTATATTACGCTCATGAATGTCACCAAACCCATTAAGTTTCATGATTAGATGAATCCTCTTTTGATATAAAAATACATATATAAATAATTCGTAGAAATAAAGACTAAAGCCTTATTCTTAAACTCTTCCCATGCTAGGTCATTCAATCTCCTTATAAAAATATGCGGGCATTCCACTGATCTTGTATATTCAATTCAATGTGTTAGGATAACCCTTGGTAGCAAACTCAACTTTGGTCCACACATTGACAATGTCTATGCTAAAGTTTTTCTCACACTCCGAAAACTGCACAATATAAATCTATACTCGATTCTGCAGGTTAAACATACCGTTGCGTATTTCCTCCTCATGACGCATGTTAGCTACGTTATTCAAGTCTTTTCTGGGTCCCAAAATTTTAATTGAACGACTGCGGTTTTCTAGATCAAATACAAACTTTTTCATATTAATAACACGTTTTCGAACTCGTCAGTCGAACAATTTTTATTGTTCGTGTTGCTAAACATGGAATGTCTCACCACTGAGTCTGAAATCCTTCGACAATTCTTTAAATACGTTCAGAAGAAAATTGACCTAGTACTAAACTGATAACGTATATTTTGTTGCTGGTAGGAATACATACATAGGAATACATAGTAACAGCCATGTAGCTGCCTTCTACACTCACTTTTCTTATAGTTACTTTTTGCAAATAAAATGTATCTATGTAACTAGGTAATAGGCCTGTGGGTTACTTACACAATAAATAAATAAATTAAATGAAGATGAATAATGTGTTCGAACCTCGCTGAAATACCTCCGTTTTGTTCTCTTACACTAAAGAACTTATTCACTTATTTTGCTATCTTGCGTCTATTAATTTAATCTCTCTATTTTCTTACATTAACCAAATTAAAGTGGGCAAACTATTGTTTTTATTGCCCATCTGAAAATGCTATTGCTTTTGATTCGCTAATGTTGACTCAAGTATTTTCATTTATACATAATACGCTTGGTTACCCGAAAAGAAAAATTAATTATGATCGGAATGAAAATTCGGCCTATATACGCAGAATAATATCAGTTGCTCAAACTGAAGGTAATAGACGGCTCTGACGAGTTTCGAATAAATATATTAAGTAAATTACAAATTTATGAAAACAACACTTTAAACTTTCCATTTTTTCTTTGAGCTTTTTCAAGTTGAATCGTTGGGCTTAAAGACATTGAGGGTAGACATTCATCCGGGAAATTAGACCAAGGACCTATTTTCTAGTCTTTTCTCAAGGATCGCAACATTAACAACGCAGAATAGATGGATCTTATTTATAATATAATTGGCCGCTATACACTAAATAGTATTTGTTTAAAAAAAATATCAGAAAGTGAATACGTTACAAAGAATAGTTTTCCATTTTTCAAAACCGTTGTTTAATGTTTAGTTTGAAACTGTCTCTTTTAAGTTAACTTTTTATTTTATCGGATCGCGATTCGTTGAATTTAGTATTTTATTAATGCAACTACACCGACGTATTTACAATGACATATTTTTGGTTGACAGTGACAAAATTCGTTTTGGTACTCATAGCTGAAAACTAGGGTTTTCAAATTTATGTCTAGGTTTCCACTTAACATTGCTGCACTTTAACTATAGGAACATCAATATGACATATTGTAACTTTGAACCGCTTAGTCATGTTCTTTGCAATCAAATCGAAGAATAATTCTTACCTTTATTTTATTGATTACTAGCAAATAACAAATTCCTCAATAAATTTGTAAGGTCGACGTGTCCGGGTCACAAAAATGAGCTTTTAAGTGGAAAAATTATTGCGGAAGACTATAAAAAACCTTTTTTTAGCTTTTTAAACCATTCTTTAGTTACCCTGTATTTAAGAACTTGAAAAAATGTATTCATATGTTATTGTCCACATGTTTTGTCAATAAACTTACAGAGTATGGATTTAAAAGCTGCCGGATAATTTAGATGAAATGCTCGCTTGTATTGAAAACTCTACCGCACTTGAAATTTGAACTCGTGACAATTGAGTCGTTAGTCGCGATCCTTTGTTTACTCGGCTACACATGCGAAACTTAAAAAAAAAAAAGGAAAAATGTTAAAATATAACAAGAACGCCTTCTCTTTGGATATTTTTAACTTAGAGGTGTTTCCGGTTCAGAAGTTATCCAATGTAATTTTGATAAAATAAAAAATTATTTAATTTAAAATAATTTAATCTATATGTTCGTAGTTGGTGTAGTATATGAGCAGTTTTGAAAAATCCCGCTGTTTGATTTAAACTGAATTAAAATTTCCAATTTGCGACCAAAAGCAATGTTTAAATTAACTTATCAAAAATTTCTAGTACAGTTCTCTGTAAATTATTATCAGGAGGTATCAGGTTGAGGTATTTTTCCTTCTTGTTTTTTCTCCAAGGTCCTAGAAGTACCTTTCTTAGAGCATCTACCAACGAAGGAAAAGCACGTTTTACAGTTTATCTGTTACGAAACTGCAGCAGAAAAGACAAGCAATTTTATATAGACGGATTCAATATAAGCGCATTCATAACTAACAGGAAAATCTTCTTTGAAAGAACCTAAATAATTTTCAAAGACATCTATTAATACAGTGCTCTTTTCCACAGGTAACACCGTCAGAGCACTTCGGGAAGAGCTCCAACTTTCAAGGGTAGAATTCTTTTTGGATAATCATTTTATTTAGTAAGCTCTTTAAAGTTAGAGGCAGCTTTTATGCTAACAAAGAAGTGCTGCTTTTGTGAAAATTTTCAACTAAAACTTGCTAACTGCTTAACACAGTCCGTTTTAAAAATAAGATTTCTTCTACTCGCTAATCCATACACAATTTTTTTATTTCAGATAGAAAATCTCAATACAAGTTGTGTCAATTAAATAGCGGTAAATTATTTTGTGTTTAGTAAAACCAAAGATATTAATTTTTCTAAAACGTAAAGATAAATTCTTACATCATCCTTTAAACGTTTTCCAAATTTCATCCAGGTTGAAGAAGTTGACTTCATTGCTCCAGTGCTCTCTAATGTTTAATATTTAGCAGCGAAAACTGAACATTACTGAAAAATTTTAGCACAATGTGGTGATAAAAACATCCAAACAAATAGGTGATAGTGGTTGATAAAAAGTATAATGAAAAATAAATTAAATAAAGGCAATGGTTTGGGTAAATAAACAACAACAAATAAATGCGACATCATGATTGAGTAAAGTATCAATAACTACAATAATAGCAACAATTAATAACACCACATCCTTGATAAAATATCAAACTCTTGCAGCCGCGTTTTTTACTGGTGCGCAGGTATCACAGATTCCACAGCTGATGCCACCGGAGGTATTTCAAAAGGGCTACATTGGCCATGCCCTAATTGCAGGAAGAAAGACATTGGTTGTTATAAAGCTGTAAATGGCTTAACCTAATTAGAAGATGGTGGAAAAATTGGTCAATCCTAGTACGGTTAGCTATGCTGCGGCTGTAAAACACAATGAATGAAGCCTCAACAGGTTCTGATAGATCTGTCATTTCTAACATTTTGCCTCTCATAATTTATCATTTTCAAAAGCCATAAATAATTAGGTTTGTTTTGCTACATTTAGCGCTATGATATATTCATCTTATTATTGGACGTGAGCTATTTTCTGTGCCACGGAAAAAAAGTTTTTATCTCAAGGTTTGGTCCATGCACAGAGATTAGAAAGATTAGAGAAAATTTCTAATCTTAAATCCGATAAAGTATCTTTACGTTGAAAGTAGCTCAAGGTAGGAAGATAGCATCTTTTAAAATGTTATTGCCCTCTTCTGATTGTCCGGTTTACCTACTGGTCTTGCACAAGGAACGTCAACAAATCTTAAACAAATTGGCGTGATTATCGTACCGGGGGAGTTTCATATTCCGAAAATAGCATGAAGTTCTAGCAAAAAGGCTAGCCATGATCTATCTTTGTACTTTAGCAGAGTAGATTTAAATGGAATGTTTGGTTTTCGCTTCTTAACTAGCTTCTTAACTAATTTAAAATGACATGCAACTCCTATCATAATTTTCTGGATCTTGTATTTGCTAATGGATTGGAAATAGCAAAATCGGCAGCTTTTGCAAATTCAGAAGATATTTTTCATTCGGTCAATGGTATTACCGTCGAGGGCTTAAGTAGTATTCTTACAGGGTCGTAGGCTCTCCTAAATACGCTTCGAAATGGAAAACGAACTGCAACATCCGGAAACAATTATCGGTTGAGTTGGATTAGCATTTATACCATTTAAGCATTGAATGGAGCATCAAATGTTTTGCAAAAAAGCTTAATAGTATTTTTTGTTAGATCCCTATGAGCGTAGACAGCCACAAATAACTAAACTTTAGAAGGAGTCTTAAATAGTTTTATAAATGTTTCGGTTCCAAAAGGAAAACAGCGATCTTATCCGCAAAAATGCAATATAGCAATTTCAACGCGTCTGATCAGCATGGAACATCCAATTTGTTTGTTAAATTTGTAGAATAATTATAGATTCGCTGTGCTATGCATCTGTTCAAATAATAGTAGGACTGCAAACAAATTTCCCCCCTTTTTACCAAAAATTAGAGATTTGTTGCGAAAGAACGGTACATTACGTTTTATTCAAAGTAGTGTCCATCACAAGCCATTACTATTTTTCATCTTTCTAGCAGCATTCGGATACCGCGTCGAAAGAACTCTTTATCTGTTAAGTTTATTCACGAATCTACCTAATTTTTGGTATCTTCAAATGATGTAAAGCGTCGCTTATACAGATCAGGTGCCATTGATCCGAATAACTGATAACCCGAAAGGGCAGTGTCTGGTGAACACAGCCGGTGGGGTAGGATATAACAATTAAGAATTGCAAATGTTTCCTGAACGAGATTTGCTAGATGGTTTCTAAATCAGCTTATTGAAAACTCACTATATCATGACTTTTGACCTATCATGCCCATTTTTTGTCGCAATTGTATTAACTATTATTAGTAACAATGCTTAGTAAAAGTTTCATTTGGTTACAAACAATAATACACGGTGCACTGTACACGATATTCTGTCAATGGCTGACCATCCTAATGCTATTTGTAGTTGTCACATGCTCATGCATGGTAACGATATGAAACCTTTTCATTCGTCCAATAATTTAAAACGGTTTGATATTTTTAAGACGGATTTTCTTTATATAATAAATGTTTTTACTTCATTAGAAATGCTATAAAAAGTTCATCTTTCGCTTATGATCAAATGCTTGTGATCGTCTCATCAATCAATATTCTAGGCATACTGTTTGATGTTTAGCCTGCATATTCAATCCATTGTTAGCAAAGCAAAAGCTGCGTTAGGTTTTATAAAACGATATTTTAAGGAATATGACGATCCATTTGTGTAACCACGGGATGTACATAGCACTAAT